TAATTTGGAGAAGGTGAGCAATAAAAAATCTATTAAAAATATAAATTGAAAAACATTACAAATATATGTGCATATATATTAGAAATATTTCTATATATATTAGTGAGTTTGTATAGTGTCATAATATGAATATCCTCTTAATTAACAATGGGATGTTAACTACTAAAATAATATTTGAAAAGCTATTTTTATCGTTATTATAATTTTTACTCTACAGATTATTGAAATAATAATTAATAGTAACTGAAAGTGCTTGCTATATATCCAGCATGAAGTTAAGTCATGTTTAGCATCTATAGCTTTTTTACTAGTATTTTAAAATTTATCTACCAAGCATAATTAAACAAAAGGCCTGTTGCATGAAAATTCATGCAAGAATGGGGCTTTCTACCCTGGCTGCTGGCACTACCTTTGCTCCAGCTGGAGCCATCTTTCTGTCTTGGCTCTGGCTCAAAGATGCCTTTTTGCCTTCCCACACTGCCCAGAGGCCCAGAGTTGCTGGGGTGGTGCAGAACACCTGCATTATCACCTGGCTGCTTGGTACCTGCATATGCAAATTAACCTTCCATCTTTGTTGAGTTAATTTGCATGCTTACTCTTGATTAGCTAGTGGGAGTCATGAAGGTAAAGTCAATTTTCATCTTTCTCTTTTATTAGTGTAGATTTTTTTGCAAGATTATGCAAAAAGTCTTATTGTAAAGCAGAATTTTTGGACTGGAACCCAGATTCTTTGTCTACCAGAGTCCACAGACAGAAGGTGATATAGCAAAGGTGAAATTTATTAAAGAACAACTACAGACTTGAATATGGGAAGGGGAAAAAGGTCCCACTGACTTCCTTTTCCCTACAGCTGAGAAAGGATATAGATTTTTGTGCCTTGATATCCCTCCTGATTAGTCACTATTCCCTTAGACTAGTTACTATAGTAACTCCTGAGCTCACAGGTAAAAGCTCACATGGGACATGAAGTTCTCCCCTCTCCTTTCTTATTGTTTTTCTATTCCCTTTGGGCTTTCTTCTTCTTGATGAAGGGCTTCCTTCTCTTTATTTTTGTAAATATAGACCTTTTGCCATTCCCCCTTCCCTCATTCTATGGAAATGTACCTGCTGCAGATTTTCAGCTTCCTTATTTCTATGGAAATAGACCTTCTGCTGCTCTGAAGCCCTGTGCTTCTTCCATGACCCCCTTAACTTCTAAAATTTTCTAAATCCTGTCCTTTTCACCCCAAAAAAATCGTGTTTCAATTGCATAATATCCTTAGAGTAGAAGTTAAATAATCTAAGTTAAGTGCTGTATTGTAGTATGGACAGATATATGTTGGACTTCAAAAGTATTATTAACTAAATGTGTTTTATTCTTTATAGCCATATTGCACGTACTACAAAAAAATTGATTTTTATTGGATTAATCCTATTGGATATTCTAAAAACCAATCTGTAGAAAAGTAGCTTAAAATTCTTCTTCAACTTATACTACTTTGAGAAGGACTTTATTACATTACACATTTTTTACTAAGAGGTACCCAGTAGAATTTTTCTTTCTTTTTTTTAGAAATAGTTACATGTCTGAAAAGTACATTTGCTTTTTTCTGAAGTTCATCACAAACTCAAAAAACAATCATGTTTAGGCTTTTTTATTAACTTCTAGAAAGCTGTTACATCTTAATCAAAATTGTTCTCTGATTTCATCAAGTGATTCACTAATTTAATTAGTTTATTTTATTTTTATCAGAAGTTATTAAGATGTCATATTAGGATTAAAAAATAAAGCAAGCCAGTATGAATAACAACAGGAAGTAAAAGCAAGAAAACCACAAAAATAGTTTGTGTAACAGGGTATAGGGTATATAAATGCTCATATTTAATTAATTAAACAAGAATTAAAAATAAGAATATAGTTACAAAACTTAGAGTCTAAAATATTAATAGTATTGCTGCAGAAGACCAGAGAAGAATCAAGCAATGCTTAGAGAGATGGAGTTATACTTTATTATTATTTTTATTATTATTATTATTATTATGTGTGGGCTGAGAGAAAACTATATTTCAAATGCTGGGCCACAACATGGAGGAAGTTTCCCTCTTTATATATTCTTACCCTTTTTGTCTCCCAAATATGGGATTTTTCATTCCCCTTTGCAAGTTCTTAAAGAGCCCTTTGTGCTGAGGCTTTGAGACCTCAACCAAAGGCTTGGCCTGGAGCCATCACTGATATCTTCATTGGGGAAAGATTTATGGCCTCTCTGGAATGAGAGTAGTCTTATCTTCCTTATTATTTAATCAAACAAGTGTTTACAGAAGCCAAAATAGCAGGGTTAAAATTTCAAACAGAAGATGGATGCTTCAGTATCATATTTAAGCATGCTATGGATAGCAGCAGTCCCAGTTCCCTTTTTGCTGGCCTTCACCACAGAAGTGTAGCCCATGCTGATGGCTGGCTAGGCCTGTAGCATCCTCTCCCACAAAATCAGCAATAAAACCCCAGGGAGAAAAAAATGTCAGACACTGACACACCCAAAAGCGAACATCTAAATCACCTGAAGATGAAACTGTATGCTGATAAACCCCTTTCATTCCATCAGCATCTGTGCCATGTGTTTGGCTTCACTAAGATATGCAAAAGAACCTGAGGGTGGTTTGGAATGCTTTCAGCTAGGCTACTAAACAAAGATGAATATGTAGCTACAAAGGCAAATGGTTTTATAAAGATAGTATTAGCTATCTAAGAGAGCCAAACCCAAAATGTTACAAAACTCACTGTAGGCACAAATTTAAAACCAAATAATTTCATAGTCACTATTGCTATTCTTGGCCCATAAATAGTTAAAACATACCTTAAAATGTTTTCTTTTTAAGTAAACAGTCTCTATTATAAATTGTTACAGAATTTAGCAAGTAACCAAAAAATACACAGAAGTACCTGGAGATACAGGAAAGACACATTTATTTCCAGATACACTAGTACCGTGACTTGGGGGAGCCTGTTCCAAAATCCTGAGAAAACCAGAATGGAAGAAGCTTTCTCCTTATCCCTTTTGGTTTCTTTGTCCCCCAAATAAGGATCAGACTTCTGGACCTTTCATGGGTTTTGCAAAAAGCCCGTGTGTTGGGATGGGGGATGTGAGACCACACCTAAAAGCCTGGCCTGGCACCAGTTCTGATAATCCCCTCTGGGGGTTGTGTATGGCTCATGGTTTATGCCCTCTATAAAATGTGAACATTTATGTAAACAGGTCTTGCAATACCATATAATTAAGGAAGGGGCAGAGACTTCATTATAGGCTAACAAGAATGTGCACTAGGGATCCTGACTAACTAGGTATAGTGTCACATTGTTGGCCCCTTCCAAAAAATGTATTTTTATGTTCCCCATCAAAACATTACCTTTATTTAAAACACTAGAGTCCCAGTGCATGAAATTTGTATATGAGGGCAGGTGTCCCTCAGCCCAGCCTGCACCAACTTACAGTCCAAGACCTTTCGGGGGATATCCAACTGCCGGTTTAGGCCTGATGGCACAGATCAGGCCTAAATTGGCAGTCACACATCCCTCTCACAATCCAGGACCACTGGCTTCTAACTGCTCATCTTGCTGCCTGATCACCCCTAACCGCTCTGCCTGCCTGCCTGACTGCCCCTAACCATTCACCTGGCTGCCTTATTTCGCCACTAAAGCTCAAGCTTCTTCTGTTTTTATTTTTAATACTTATATTTCTTCTTTATTTTTTATGTTAAATGTCAAACTTCTTGAGAATATGAGGCATTTAACACTCCTTCTTCCTTACAGAGAGCTAAGCATGGCAAACACAGCAAATACTTAATAATTATTAGCTGCTATACAAACACTTTCCAATCAGGAATGTTTTAATAGGCAGTCTCCAAAAACTAGAACTGGAAAACCTAAAAGTAAAATGCTCAGATTTCAGGCATTCGGTGCTATTAGCAGGATTTCTATCCCAATTAAACACTAATACTTAGCTCTCAACAGTCTGGACAAACTGTTCTTCACTGTCTCCAAAGTTTCTTATTCACCCACTATCCCATTTTCTTTCTTTCTTTCTTTCTTTCTTTCTTTCTTTCTTTCTTTCTTTCTTTCTTTCTTTCTTTCTTTCTTTCTTTCTTTCTTTCTTTCTTTCTTTCTTTCAGTTCAATGTTATAGCACATCAATATCAATGTACCATACAAAACCCACCTGCCAGCCTAGCTGGGCAGGCGGGAGGGGGGTCTATGGCAGTATAGAAAACTGGGGTTCTTATCCCCAAAAAAGGAGAAAATGGATTACAGTTAAGCAAACAATATCAAAACCCAACATGATCAAGGAGAAGCATTGAAACTGCATGGAGCAGAGGTGCTGTGGGCAGCAGTGCATCTCAGCTGGCCCAGCAGTACCTGCAGCAGCCTCAGTTCCTAGGAAGCCTGGAGTCAGATAGGGCCCAGCTCTTGAGGTTATTTTTAATAATTTTGCTTTTGGGGGAGGAGGGCTTCTGGGCAGCAGCTCCATGTGGGGGTAACTGGTGCAGGTTTCATTTCAGGGTTTGGAAGGGAAGTTGGATCTGTAGGGCGGGACACCAGGTCCCAAATGTCACAGCTGAGGTTCTTGGAAGTGGCCCGTTGAAGTTCTATCATGTCCTGGGCCCAGGTCTATGGCTTAAAAATCAGGCTGGGGTTAAAGCACCCTAGGGGTCTTTGTAAACATGGCAGGTACAGGCAGGGGGAGCTTGGGGAACTGTAGGAACTGCTGAGGATAGCTAGAGCCAGGGCAAGACCTGCTCTGTGTGAGTGCCCATGGGGAAAGGAAGCATGGGGTGAAGGAGGTATGCTCCTGTAACAGAGACTTAGAGGTACAAAGACTAAGAGACACAGAGAGGACAGATATGAGAATAGAAAAAGTGACAGGAAGAGAAAGAATCAGAGAAAGCAAGAGAGAGATTGAGACAGAGAAAGATTCACAAAGAGAGACAGACAGACAGACAGGAAGATGAAGTCCTGCTGTGTGTGAGTTAGTGGGCTGGGGCCCCAGGGCTCAGGACTGGCACGAGATGTACCAGTGTGATGGTAAGTGCATTGCTGTGTTGCAGGAGGGAGGTGGGCTGGCGATGCAGCACCAGCTCCTTCAGAGACCCGTATGGGTTGTAGGGCTCTGCAAAACCCAAGCCAGTGGTCATGCAGTAGAGGACACAGTGCTTGATATATCCGTCCATCACCACAGAGTAGACATAGCAACCCCACTGGCTGTTCTCACAGGTGAGGAAGGTACCATCCCGCTTGCAGTTCAGCATTTCCTCAGCCTGCGTGCAGTCGATTTTGCCACATCCAGGTTCATTCCTCAGGGTGGGAGAGTTCATCCTCATCCTCCACCAGTGCATACTGGTCTTTAGTCTCCTTTTTGATTCCCAACCACTCGTTGATTTTCTTCTGCCAGGTGCCTTTCGTGGTGGGGCATACTAGGTACTAGTCTCAGATCTTGCACAGCTGCATGAGGTCTGGCTTTAGGCTGTTCATGCACTTATCGATCTCCTGGCTGTCTAAGGCCTGTGTCTGCAGCTCCTGTTCCAGCTTCATGCAGCTCTCGTGGATCTTAGGGATGGGACACTCAAGCTGCTCTGACTTCAGCAGGATCGTCTGCATCTCTTTTTCATTGTCCTCAAGCCAGAAGTGCTCCTGATATTCCTGGCTAAACTTCTCCTGAGTCTGGCCCGGTTCTTGGAAGCTCTATATGGTTTCATTGAAGGCTTTGATTGCGGTGCTCTTCATCTGAAGTTCCTGGAAGGTGTGTGTGTACTCCTCCTAGCGCAGGTCATACTGGCTCTTGTCCTCTGCTTCATACCAAGGTAACAAACAAAACCTTTAATTCTGATCTTCCTCTCATTGCAAGGAAATAATAAGCCTCAATAGAATTAATTTCCCACCAGAAGTCACATCCAAATACTGAGAGACTGAGGATTATAGGGCTACTATGTACATGTGCAATAACAGGCTCACATTCTAGCTGTAGGTGCCCAGGCATCCTCCACAATCCCACAATCCTCTGGTCACATACTTGCAGTTTTTATAGCTCCTCCTTAAGTGGTGTTTCCTTCAATCGTGTTGCAAGTCCAGGGCTTCTAGTTGGAGAGTATTTTTCTGTTCTTTGATGTTGATAGCTGTTTACTATTTGAAATCAGTAACGTTTTGGGATTACTGCCACTGCAATGAACATGTCAGTCCCAAGCACACTCATGAAACAACCGCCCATTCAGTCCATGCTGGCACCATTGTGGTTCACAATGAGAAAAGTACTATGCTTTTCCAATCAGATCTTCCTGTTCCTTTCCTAGCACACTCCAAATCTACTCTGGGCTAACCACCCCAACTCTGAAAACCCTTAAGACCTTTCTGTCTATTTCTCTGACTTTCCCCCATCAAACTTGCACCCATCACATTGCCTCGGGGAGCCCCTAAACACTCCCTGGGGGCAGGGCCAGCCTGGGCAAGGAAGGGGCTATTGTGTTCTGGTCTCTGGTCATTCTGGTCGTTACAGAAGCTGGCTTTTTATATATATAGATGGGGGACAGATTGCTTAAGACTCATTTCTTGGAGGGTTTCTCAACATGGGTTGATGACATCTAATGTAGCATGATTCAATCTAAGGATATTACTACAAGAATAATGTAATATACCACTCTGAAGATCTTTGGAAACCTAGAGCTATTTTTTATAGAAACAAGAAAAATACATGATTTTTTATAACCTTCAGGCAATCCTTTCCACAAATATTGTTTCTCTGAACTAAGCTTTTGATGAACAATGAATGATTGTAAGTTTGAAATTATCCCCTTTGGCTAATGCCTGTAGTGGAGGTCCACTTTAGTGTTCATAGGTTGAAATCTGTCTCATGTTCCTGACCAGATATCCTGCGTCTATGAAGTTAAACACCCTTTTATGAAAGCTATTTTAACCATCAAGACAAAATAGAATTTACATTATCTCTACACAATCTCCATTCCTAATTGAGTTAAGAAATATAGGAATATAAACATAGAATTTCTTTACAAAATTAAACCTTACACTTGGACACAGTAATGAAACTATAGTTCATATTGGTTACCTAAATGTAACACAAACACAATTATTGGTATAATTTTGTTTCAGGAAGTAGTAATAAGATGTCCCAATTCTCTAGCAGTCAAATCTCAATAAAATATTAATATAACTAGTTTATAAGTGAAATATGAGTATTGATAAGTGTAGAAATAGCTGTCATGAAAAGCAGAAGCAGGAGAGTATTATATTGAGAAATAAATATTATATCTCAGTGGTAAAAAGTGCAGCTTTTTGGATTCACACTTCCTATGTTCTAATCCAAATTTTGATAGTTATGAGAATTTTACTTAATCTTATTAAGCTTTGGTTTCTTTGTCTAAATATCAGAGGCAAAAATTTGAGGCTTAAATAGGATATTATTTAACATGATCTCTGGAAGGAATTAAAATTTTTTAAATTATATTTTTATTAATTTAAAAGAGGAAGGGAGAGGAAGAGAGATAGAAACATCAATGATGAGAGAGAATAATTGGTCAACTGCCTCCTGCATGTCCCCTACTGGGGATTGATCCCACAACACGAGCAAGTGCCCTAACTGGGAATTGAACACTGACCTCCTGGTTTATAAGTTGATGCTTGACCACTGAGCAACAATAGCTGGGCTAAACTTTTGAGTTTGAAATTAGTAGTTACTAACTTTAGAACAGGATTATTAAAACACACATTTACTCAAAATCAAGTTGAAATAACTATCACTACGATAAATTGAATGAAATGTTTTAGGGGGAAGGGAAACGAATATTAGTAGAAAGTTGGCCCTTTAATGAAAAATCTTCCTGACTCTAAAATTTGGAAGGCTTCTCAGCTTACCTTATAGAAGAAGCCTGTTTTTATTTTATTTTTTGTTATTGTTGTTGTTTTTGTTTCTGTTTTTTTGTGTGTGTTTTTGTACTCTAAATTAGAAGGCTTTCAGGTAATTGGCATGTTCCAGATATGTATAGGCTTCAGTCATCTTTTTTATTCAGTTAAAATAATGATTGACAAAATTTTTAATTTATTTAACAGAGAGATGAAACCTAACCATCAAATATAAGAATGGATCACCTAAAGTTAATATGCTTATTAAAAAAATGAGATAAAATTTTAAAATATTGAATTAAATAGTAAAATGAATCCTAGAGCACAAAAGTATGGGGGGAAATTCAGAAAATCAAGAGCAAATATCTATTAAATTGATAGAAAGGAACAGAATAAGAAAGTGTTCTTAATTTTTTTTAATGTTTAGAAACAAAAATTCAGTCACTGTGTAAGGAAAAAAATTTGAGAATATTTCACAGAACAGAACAAAAACACAGATTTCAAAATATGAAATAAAATGGGCACTAATTCAGGTTGTGTAATTCAGGCAATTACTGTGAATGTAATAAACAGAGAACATGGAGGGGGAAATTATCAAGGCGAGAACAACAACAAATGTTTCCCAAAATGAAAAAAGTCCTACATCTTAAGAATAAAAGGATTTATTGAAAATAAAACAGGATAAACCTAAAGAGTGCTCAAATTATTCTTGAATATTTTTGGGTGGGAGTGAATGGTTAGCAATACAAAATAAGTGAGAAATTTATGGAAAAAATGTTTTGAGGGAAAATGTTCTCACATCCTTACCAACCAAATTATCAACAAAATGTAAGAAAATACATTCTTAGATAGTTATTAAAGCCCACAGTAACATATATGTTAATCCTTTTATATTACAAAATTAAACTATACATTTTATATATTTATATATATCTTTCCTGAAGAAATTATTTGAGAATGTTTTCTAGTAAAGAGGGAGTGAAAGCCTAGATGAAACTTAAGCTTTGAGAAATAATCTAGTTCAAGGGTAAGTTAAAAGAAATTCAACCTCTAAGTAAGGAGCGATTGATCATAACAGGTCACAATTTTCATTATCAGCAACTAGAAATATAGACACATTTAAAAATATTATAACTTTAAACACATTATACAAGGAAAATATGGAATAATGTTTCAGAAAAAGAAAACCTATTTATAAGTGAGGTAATAACAAGTACTTTCCTACCTCCTATGAAAACATTTGTTTAAATTGAAGGCAATGTCCTAGTTGGTTTGGCTCAGTGGATAGAGCATTGGCCTGTGGACTGAAGGGTACCAGGTTTGATTCCAATCAAAGACACATGCCTGGGTTTCTGGCTTGATCCCTAGAGGGGCGGAGGGGTGCATGTAGGAGGAAGCCAAACAATGATTCTCTTTCGTCATTGATGTTTCTGTCTCTCTCTCCCTCTCCCTTTCTCTCTGAAATCAATAAAAATATTTTTAAAAAATCAAAGGTTAATGATCAAGGCTAGGAAGACATTAGCAGGTGGGAGAGAAATCAGGAAAGGTTTCATGATGTTGCTTCAAATCCCTAGATATTAATGTCAGTTTGGAAAATGAGTCCTCAATCCCAAAAAGTGAGGACTCAATCCTTTTCCCCAGTATAATTTTCTGATGGTAGTTTCTTTGTAGAGCACTGTTCAGTATCATATACATTCACTATAATTTTGCAATGTCCTTAATACTGAGGATCCAACCATTTTTTGTCATTGTGTTCTTTGAATGAAACTGGATTCAGGTCCATAAATTAGCTTGAGCAACTGCCCCTTCACCTATTTTTTTTACTCATTTGTTTGTTTATTTAGTTACCATGCCATTGATGCAAAGCCATCCAATATTGCCCAGGATGTGCAATAATCATTTCCATAACACTCTGCAGGTCATGCCTTTCTGGCTGCAATTTAAATGACATCATCCATCACTGTAATTTCTCCCACCTTGCTTCAGACAGTTAAACTTGCATGCTTAGGTCTCTGTTACTTGAACATTGTCTATTTTGAGAGCAGCAAGCCTCACACTGTAATAGCATCCTCTGCCATCCCTGGAATTGTCTATGTAGATAGCAGGCACCACTGCATGTCTCAATTATGTTTTGTCCCTCTCACCAGTCCATTTATCTTCACTCAAGTGAATGGATTGACTTCAAGGACCTGCAGCAAAATTCTGGTGAGTTTCCCAGCTTGACAATGTTTAAACATAATCTACTATGTTCATTTCCCTGCACATTTTAATCCCTCCTAAGCACCACCTTCCATGGCAAATCTGGCATTTCTACTTCACTTAACATAGAGAGAGCATTGCTTTCTAAGCTTCCAAGAGCAGTTATCATAGTGTGTTAGCATGGATTCTAGTTTTGCCAAGGAATTCATCCTGTATCATGGGGAAATGTTCTCATACTGGTAAGATTTCACTTATCTACACTTATGTTGGACCTAGTTGATCCAGA